GTCGTCTGAAGATCTTACTGTGAATTTACTTTTATTTCTCTTTCTTTGTGTAGTTAATAAAGTTTTTTATACCCTTTTGAGTTTTAGGCCTGCCTTGGTCTTTTGCTCCTGGTTCTGTCTCACAACAGAAAATGAGTATATTTAAATTGGCAAATCAAAACTATAACAAACTTCTCACTTTAACATATTTATTATAGCAGTAGCACAGGAGAAAACATGCCATGAATAGGAAGTTTAGGTCTTTATTACATAAAGTTTCCATCTACATTCAGGATTGGCAGACAGAACAGATTTAAAAGCAGCAAGAATTTCCATTTAAACTATTAAACAAAGCCTCCAAAACCACAATTTTGTGGATTGCAGGCACATGTAAATGTTAATTATTCTTTTTAAAATCTTAAAGTGTGATAAATGCCTCTTATTGTTAGTCTTTTCATTGTCTATGTTGGCATTGAATAAGCATGAACATAGCTGTTTCAGTTTGTTTGAAAACTATTGAAAAATGCAAATAACCATTGATCTTAGAACAAACACTTGAATGTGGCATTTGCTTTCATATTAAATAATTTGAAATGAGAGGAAGAGCAGTGTGATGTTAAAAGCACAATCTATCTTATTGTGTTCTTTTCCAGTGACTTTGTAAAAGTACTGCTCTCAACTTATTCCAGAGGATAACAAGAATGTGTATCTGGCTGGTTTGATCAGTGAACTGAGAGGCAAGAGAGAATATCTGCATTTAAAATTGCTCTTTAATCTGGCTGTCCTAGACCTAGGAGCTGTACTAGCTTCACGGTGTCTTGACAGACCAGCCTATTTCTTGCAAACAAATTATATATTTGTTTCTAAAAGCAAGAAGCTCAGCTAAGTATCCATATTATGATGAGTGGCTTTCTGTCCAAAAGTCCTCTTTTTTATCCAAGAGTGAAAATGCAGGTGGAGGTAAAGTATAAAAGCAATGTGTATTTTACATTTTCCCAAATGTATTCTCTTTGGGTAATTCTTTCCATCTGGTGTAAGGGAACAAGTGATAAGTCACTTCAAAACTCACATCAGACCTCCTAGAAAGGCTCACTATATCTTATAAAAAATGTAAAGAAAAATATCACTGGACAGTTCATTACTAGCTTTTGATTCAGAAGCGAAAAATATAGATAAAGGGTCAAATGCCCTCCAAAACAGGATCTGAAAGCAGAAGTAATCTTGGCTTAGATTTGGATTAGGCACCCTTCCAGTTTTAGCTTTAATCTTGAGTGGAAAATTCTGGATGCTCAGATCAAAATATACTGTGCTGAACACTGGCTTTGCCCAGTTAAGTTGCCCCATCCCTACAAATGCTCAAGGCCAGGTTGGATGGGGCTTTGAGCAACGTAGTCTAGCAAAAGGTGTTCCTGCCAAAGGAGGTGCAGGAGATGCAAAGGTCAGTGCCAAAGGAGAGGCAGGAGATGCTCCAGGTGCCAGAACTGAGATTCCCCTGCAGCCCCTGGTGCAGCCCATGGTGGGGCAGGTGTGCCCCTGCAGCCCATGGGGGGCCATGGGGATGCAGAGATCCACCTGCAGCCCGGGGAGGAGACCCACACTGGAGCAGGTGGATGCCTGAGAGGAGACTGTGACCCCATGGGAGGCCTGTGCTGGAGCAAGCTCCTAGCAGGAATCAGCAGACCTGTGGAGAGAGGAGCCCACTCTGGAGCAGATGTAGAACTCCTATCCCTGAGCAGCAGAAGAAACAACCTGTGACTAATTTACCATAATCCCCATTCCCTATCTCCCTGTGCTTGGCGAGGGGGCAGATCTGAGAAGGAGATGAGAGGCGTGGGAGGGGAGGTGTTTTTAAGGTCTTATTTTGCTTCTCATTATCCTGCTCAGTTTTTGTTGGTAATAAACTCAATTAACGTCCCCAAATTGAGTCTATTTTGCCCTTGATAGTACTTGGTGAGTGATTTCTCTCCCAGTTTTTATCTCAACTCATAAACCTTTATATTTTCTCTCCCCTTTCCAGTTGCAGAGGGGAGTGATAGAGGCGCTTTTGTGGGGGCCTGGCATCCAGCCAGTGCCATCTTGTCTCAACCCAAGATCTTTCTCACTTTTACACTTCTGCATCTCTCCCTGACTTCACCAGGGAAGTGAGCACCTGTGTGCAGCTTAGTTGTTGGCTCCGGTTAAAACACAACACCCGGTCACAAACCCTGGACCACCCCTCTCGATCCCAGAAGCTGCACAGCAGCTGCCAGTTATACTCTTCATCCAATTTCACACCCAGTAAACTGCTTTACAAGTGAAGAAGGTTCACATAGTAAATACTTTACCTTTGCATGTATTTTCTAATGTCAGTACCTCCTCTTCCTGCAGGGAAGAAGCTCCTCTAAGATACTATCTAGGCTACATGCAATATAAAGCAAATTTCAGAGGAAAGTAAAGAAAAAGGCATGTGGTGAGTCACTGCTCCTTCCTGCTCCAGCCCGCTTCTTTTCTGAAAATTGTTCCAAATGTTTTTCCCTCTGGCTAGGCCTGACATTCAAAATGTTGCACATGAATATATTCACCACAATGACAGGACTTTTCTTGAGAAACTTTCAGACATCTGCTTTTATGGATTCCCAGAAAGGCCATCAGGAAACCTCAAAATATTTATATATTGGATAATCCAAACTTTTAAATGCTTATCCAAACCAATTTGAACAGCTAGATGTTTCAAGGTCAAATAGTCAATACAATCTCTGATTAGTAGTGCTCAGCAAACGGCTAAAGATTTTTTTTCAGGAAATGCTGTCTAAACATTTTTTAAAACTCGCTGTAGCCATTTGATTCTATTTCTTGAATTCGCTTTCAGATCAACATTCAAGTGACTATATTTCATTAGAGCAAACAAAATACAGAATAGAGATACTCACAATCAATGACAGTGCATTCATATATTCATATGTACCACTTATCAAACCAACAGTGATTGCAAATAGTACGAAAAAAAAAGTTGTGAAATACTGTAATCAAAACTGAAAAATATAAACTCATAAGGAAATTCTAATACACTTGTGGGTTAGAAGCAGGAAAAGAAAAAGTAAACTGGATAAATTATTCATTATAAATTAGTTTTAAATCTGTAGGATTAAGGGGGAAAGAACAATAATTACACATGACATTTGCTGCAGGTCAACAAATAGATTCACTTGCTTTTAGTATCCAGCCAGGTATCTGATTTATTAAATGGTTTATTTAGGAAGAAAAACTGTGTTGATTACTTGATTACTTTCTGCAAAAAAAAAAAAAGTATTTTCCCTAAAACATCATTTACAATATTATATTCAGATATGTGACAGTGAACTTTTCCTTCTACCAGCACAGCATCAGAGTTCTAGAGTTCTTATCTCAGCCCACAAGATACCAAAATTATTTAGATTGAACTTACAAACTATTATAATAAGACAAGAAATTTTCATTGCAAACTGGTGAATGATAGCAATCTCATATGTTCCTAGCTATGGAATATAGGCGTTGAAAGGACAGAGGAGATGAAAGATCTCCAAACCATGTGAATTTTGATTTATAAGGCAGCACGTTTTTTGCTGCTAGCTAAGAAGGAGAAAGAAAGCCACAAACACATATGTTTGTGTTTACTGGACTAAGGTATCACAGATTAAACTGACTCTTTTAATTGTGTGTATGTTTTGTGCTCCTGAGAGTGTAGGCATTTCAAAAATAGGGGGAACTGGATGAATGCCTTCCTAACCTTGATAATCCAGCTGCCTCAATTTCTCCTCCTGCTTTCCATATATTTACCATCCAGAAAAAGTGCAAGAAATGCTCCCTAAAACATACTTAATACTCTAGGACATTTACTAGTCCTGTAAATGAAAAAAAGAAATCACTTTAATTATAGTCCTAATCTTACATTACAAGGGTTCTGTATCTGCACAGAAAGGAAGGTCTCATACATTGTGATACTAACAGTCAATAATATACTGTTTGTCAAGGAATCGTATAGTTTTGAAATTCCATTTCTTAGCAGGATTTTTAGCTCATTCATTAATGGAAACTGTGTTGAGGTAAATAATATTCATATAAATAAGGAGTGACTTTTCCTCCTCCTGTTTTGCTGCTGTTGGTCAGTTGTGATTCTCAGAATTAACGGAATGTGCATCCCTGATTTAAAATGACAGTGATCTAGCCACTACACTACAAATACACATGGTTGAGTGAAGCTTTAACAACAAAGAATAATTTCTGTTTCATTTTCCCTTCTTCTGTTCTAGGAAGACTATTAATTGAATAAAAGTGCATCTTTCCCTGGTAGTTGGATTAGGGAATAGATTGGATATTCATCTTACTCTTGGACTTGCCAAGCTGGAAAAATTCAGACATCATATTTGATAGCACTTTCTTCTCTATTTGGATATCTGTTGTTATGGTGATAGTTCCAGAAGGAAACATTAATGAGGATGACTTGAAAGCTTTGGTGTGTACAGCACAATTATTTTTAACAGCTCATAAGAAAAAGTGGCAGTCAGTTAGTACCGCTCCTGGCTAAAGACACATTATTGTACCAACTTTCATGAAAACGACCTGAATTTCTATTTATTATGTATCTGTAACACAGTGTTGAATACAAATATGTAATAGAAAGGATTTGGAAGACCAACATGCCTCACCCCCCCGCCCATTTTCTCACAAAGGATATAAGCTGTTATTCTTAGGAACTCGGTTACCGTAAAAACTGACTTTAAGTATACAACACAAATTTTAAAATATCTGTACTGCTCTTTTCTGACACCCCGAGAACTATCCAGTGTGATGTCTCATATCCAAAACTAAGCTATGAACAAATCTACAAAGCCACATCACCCAGCACGAGCCTGCAGACACACTGCATCACCCAGACTGTCGTTCACCTGCAGGGGAAAAGCGTTGGAGAAAGGAGCTTTCTGCCTGGACTATCCCATCTGGAAAGGACTTGATGTTCATCACAGAGCTCGGCTCGCACGTTGTGAAGGGAGGCATTTACTTACATAGTCCTCGTAGGCCTCGTGTGCGGGCGGCGGGGGTGCTCTGTAGCCCGGCACGGACGGGGCGCCTCTGGCTCGAGGGGTGGGAACGCCTCTGGCCACCGGCGGGACAGGGAGCGCTCCACGCGTCACCGGCGCTCCTCGGGGTGCCTGGGCACCTCGTCCTGGCAGCGGGGGAGGAATGGCACCCCCACGGCCCCTGCGGGGAACAAAAGGGAATGAGCGCTCTGGCGTGTACAGCGAGGGAAGACATGCGTGTGCTTCCCCATTTTAAAGGCTCTCACGTCTTTACTGCTATTTAAAGCATCATATAACTCTGGGGTTTTGGCAGCTACAATGTCAAGCACTTTTAGGCAATATCTCAGGCAGAACTCATATTATGGAAAGGCATTATTTTTAAACCATCTAGTGCCTTTTGCACCTGATCCTCTTGTTGCTGGTGATAATAAAATTCTGAATCGTTATAATTCACAGGGTTGCAGAAACTCCAAAGCAGTTCTAGAAGATGAAGAAAATGAGAAACTTCTTCTGTTAGTTTCAAAGTATTTTACAAGAGCAGTCATCACCCGAATTTTCATGTTTAGTGGTGGGTGGGAGAAATGGATTGTCAGAAGACATCGCAGGACATCAGAAACTTGCAAGGCAAAGTAGATGAAGAATATAAAAGGAGAGGAATAACTTTTTTTCCTATCTAGTTTAGTTCAGCACAAAAGATTGGTAGTGTGGGATTCTACTTTCCCCCACTGCACAGAGAGAAGAGAGCATATAGACAAGCATGGAAAGAGGTTTAGCATCCACCTGGCTATTTATGCTGTATCTTCCTTGCTGTACAAACTAGTAAATCAGAAGAAGCTGTTACCGTTTAAAAAAAACATACGATGAAATAGAGGGGGGCAGAAATCAGGGAAGCAGTCTGTGAGTTTTGTTTCACAGCAGTATGCTCCTGGGTGTGCTGTCTTTTTGGAAGACTGTGAATGCCAGGTATAGCAACTATGCATGACAGCACAGTTGTGAATGGAACTGAGGTCTCCTGCAGCAGTAGGAACTGTCGTTTGTTCCCTGCTGAGACAAGCAAACCCATTGCATTAGGTTGCAATGTCCATTACTTTACTACAGGTTTCAGTAGGAGATTTTAGACTTGCAGAATCACTGAATGGTTTTTGTTGGAAGGTACCTTCAGAGATCTTGTAGTCAAAACCTCATGCCTTGGGCAGGGACATCTTTCTTGGGTGCTTTGAACCCAATTTAAAAGCTGCAAGTTTGCTGCGGTGACATTCTGATCATCATTATTAAGTCAAGCTCTTCAGAGATCTTGGATGTAAAGAAGACTGAGCCTAGAAACTCTTTGAGTAGAAGATGGTCATGAATGCCAGCTGCAAAAATATTCTGTGTAAGTGCATCATACTACCAACTAAAAAGCTCATGTAGGAAAAACTGACGGTAAACATGATAGACGTCTTCAGGGACAAAACCTCAGAGGTCATAGGAAAGATCAGCCCATTCACTTACTGCAGAACTCCTCTGTCAGCATAACATAAGGTATCCCCATATCCTATTTCTTTCAAAATAAGAGTCCATTTTTTTTTAGGACTTATCTTGAAATTACCTCTTTGGAGAGAAGACTAGAAGTAGCTAGGTAACTTAGATGCCTGGAGCAATGAAGTTCCTAAGGGTTCACAGTGAAAAACAAGTCTGAGAGAATGTTCTAAGATTTTACACTGGCCTTAATAACAAGCAGAGATTTATATTATTTAGATATGAAAAAATACTTGGACATATTCACATCTCAATGTTTTTAGATTATGCCAATCAAATTCACTTAAAACTGATAACCCATCAACAAATAACATATAATGCAGTTTTTATATATAGGTATATTTGTATATACATACAGTATAGCTGCAATATGTATAAAAAGTAATTATTTGGAAAATAAAATTCTTCCTAGACTATGTGGCCTTCTCTGACTACACTATTATTTTGACCAAACATTTTATGTTACTGACCATACTGCCTTAGTACTAGCATAAAAGTATTCTTTCTCAGAAATATCCTTTTCCTGTCTTCATAATCTGCTCTCATTTGTTGTCACCCACTGTACCCTGTAAACTGTACATCAGAAAATCTACAACAATACAGATCACACAGAAAACAAATTTTGATTTACTGACCAGGACATGTATGTAACTGTCTTTTTTTTTGTTTTTGGTTTTGTTTTTTTTTTAACAATGGGGTTTTTTACTATTGTGTACACTTTGTAAAGATATTAACATAACAGTTCAGGGTACTATACCTTGAAGGAGCTGCAGGTGGCACACGGATCCCTCTTCCTCGAATGCCCCGTCCACGTGATGAATCCTCAGAACCGTTCAAATACGAGAGTTCTCTCAGCTGCTCCTGGCGAATTTCATCATTATAATCCTGAAATGCAAACAGTGAAACTTTCTGAAACTTTGTGCTTTGACTGAGCTGGCAAACCACTCAAACCAGAAATTCCGTGGATGGCATTTCAGTGAATTGTTCTGCATTATCACTGGAATGCTGAAAAATTGAACACGTGGGTCTGGACAACTACCCATAATCTATGGACAGAAAAATGTATATGTATGGGCAGTGAAGGTGGTCATAAAGAGCATGAACATGCAAAAAAAGCCCCACAAAAGGCAGAGAAGGTATAAACACGCAGAAATGTATCTGTATGCAAAATGCAGATGGACTTTCACATACAAAAAGCACTAATTTCAAGTGACTTGTAATTAGACAAAGAAACAAGTGTTTTATAAATAATTTTTTATTCTTGGCAAATTTCCCTGGCTTTATGCACTTAAAACACAAATTCTACCTTATATTGCACATTAGAATGACTGGATGATTTAATTCAATACCAATTAGCCAGTGAATGTAAAAGTCAAGTAACAAAGCTATGTTTACTATAGAAAATTTGTTAAATGAAATAAAATAGGCCTATTCCAAGAACAGGGTATTGACTTCAGCACTGCAATTTCTGTTGGCTCAATGAACAGAACACCAGATGAACTTCCTTTTCTTACTGATACAAAATAAAATCACAGACTCATAAAATGGTTTAGGTTGGAAGGGACCTTAAAGATCTAATTCCAAGCCCCCTGACATGGACATCATGTTGACTTCCTCTTCATTGGAATGCCTGACTGGAAGAGGTGATCTTTGATTATTAACTATGACTGTCGGGCCCCTTTTCATTCCAGGGCTCTATCCCACTCCACCAAGCAGTTCCCTGGAGAGACCAAAGTCTGCTCTCCTAAAGTCCAGGCCAGACCTTGCTCTGCACTCTTCTCCCTGCCCTAAGGCTCTTGAACTCCCTCCATCATTTCATGATCACTGCAGCCCAGGCCAGTCTTGAGCTTCACCTTTCCTACCAACCCCTCCCTGTTGGTGAGAATGAAGTCCAGCATAGAGTGTCTCCCAATGGCTTCTCTAACACTTGGAGAAGGAAGTTATCCTCAGTGCATTCCAGGAGCACATTTGCCCTGCTGCGTTGTCCCTCCAACAGATGTGAACGTTGAAGTCCCCCATGAAGACCAATGCTTGTGAACCTGAAGCTGCTCTTTTCTGTCTAGAGTGTCCCATCCACTATAATACACAATAATGGACACATTTACTTACTTTATGTTTGTCTAGATTCCTTTGTCAGAAATTCCTTTTTTTTAGCTTCCTTCCATTTTATCTAGCTTTTTACAGGCTGATCACTGTATTCAAAGTCCACTGCAGCAGCCAGCTCACTGGCAGCACAGCTGTGTGACAGCTAATTATTGTTTCAAAACAGAAAGGATTATTGAATGCCAGCTCTTCTGTCCTTCCATCTTTCCACAGGCAACTGCCATTGACTGTCATGCAAGGACCTGAAAATGCATTACACGTGACACTTCTTTTAGCCAAGTTAAAGGCCAAGCCAACAGTGAGCTAGAACTGAGGCCTTGCTCGCTCCTTCTCCTTCCTAAGGAGGCCCAGGAAATTTGTTTAAAGATATGACCCTGATCCTGCTGTGTTTGTTAGAGTTTAGGCCTGGTCACAATTTCTCTTCTAATTTCTAGAGAATGTAGCTGGAGAAAAATCTATTAATGAAATTCAGAAAAGACCCCTATTTATACAATATAGCGCATGATAATTGCAGCACAATTATTATTAAAAATAAAATTATTTATTTTATTTGGAAATCCCTAATCTGATAATAAAATAGATAATGGCTTTAATTTCATACCATCCCCAAATCTTTTTGTACATTTTTCTATTCTTCTAACACTAATAGTTATAAGCCAAAGACATCTTCTAAATCAATGTGCTCTGTAAAATACAGAGGGAAAAACACAGAATCAATGAGATCACATTTACAGCAATTGTTAGAACAGGTGCCATTTACTGTGCCCTCCTTTTAGTATCATCTGTTATTCATACTGGCTTTACAAGGATTAGGACTTCAAACTTGCTGACTGAGTTTACCCTCCAGATTCCACAATGGTGCTGAGACCGAATTTCATTAATAATGTAGGTACGTTTTGTAAGAGGAAAATGTGGGGGAAAATAAAAAAAACCCAAACAAACAAAAGGAAAAGGAAAAAAAAAAAAAACTAAACCAACCAAAAAAACCAACCAAAAAAACCCCACTAAAATAAAGGGACCTGCAAGGGGACAGAAATTGGAATTTCTGTGTTGCTGCTTTAACCCCTCTCTTTTGGAATATTGCTGTATAAATGAATTCTAGAAATTGCCTTACACAAACTATTACTCCCTTAGGTAAAAATATAATTTAAAAATCTTAAAATCAATAAAATAGAAAATCCAAATCAAATTTATAATACAGAACAGGATCTGCAAAACTTCACCATTCTGTTGTGCAATACCCTTAGTTTTAGCATGCACATTAGCTGCTGCACATTCAGTTAAGAAACAGTGTATTTTGAAATGATGAGGTAAAGACAGCCAAATACTCCCAAAGGAAGATACTGAGACAAGTCTCTTGAAAAAGAATGGTTTAATTAAAAAATATAACTCTTTATGGATAATTTATCTTATGGGCTCCTTAAAAAGCATAGTAAGGATTATAATTTCTAAACTTAAAACCTGAAGTTTTCAGCAGAAATACTCGTTTTGCCTCTTCCATTAAAAAGAAATGTAAGACTGAATTAATCTTTCATAGCTGCTACAAGTATAGCTAGAGTCAGGGTATCTATCCTGATGAATATTTAATTGCATGAGTTCAGAGCCCAGCACATGAGCAAAATTATGCTGCTGATGTTTCATAAATATCTAGTCCCAAGAAAGAGTACATGATGTTTCAAGACATACCTATACTGAACAAAGTACCAGGAAGTAGCTACACACTACAGTAGTATAATTTGTTTCAGAAAAAAAACCAAAAAACAACCTCCTTTTTTATATCAAAATAAGCTCATGAAAAATGTCCTGTACTTCACAGCTTTTCCAATAGCTTTCTATTAGCCTTATAGCTATTCTTACAGCTGATAATCTACATTAACCTATATATTTTGCGCTTCTTTATATCCTTAAAGACATTACTATCTATAAACATCTTTTTCATTTAATGCTGATAAGGAGACTGCAATCGACTCGTATCATGGCGGTCAGTTTACTAACTGAGCTAACCACCCATGCCCATGACTATTCACCTAAACATATATCTTGACTTTAGAAAGGTGAAGGATTTTCAAAATCAGCGAAGTCATAGCTCCCAGGGCCACCATAAATTGCCATGTTTATGTAAATGCCTGAAAAACCAAATTGCATGTTTAGATAAAACATTCAGTAGTCCAGAAAACATCAACATGTTTACCCCGAATTACCACAACTATGCTTATTAATGAAGGTTTGGAGTGATTCATTAAGTTGGTTGCCTTGAGTGTTGTAGAACAGAGAAAACCCATGTGCAGGTTTTCCAAAGGACATCAGAGTCTGGCCAGTGGCAGCTCACCCACAGGCTGTTCTGGAAGCACTGACAGGAGGCAGAGCAAAGAGGGGAAAGCACATAAACTGCTACAGAACTCAGTAAAGCGTTTTGGTAAAAAACCAGCAAAGTATGATGCAAGTTGCAAAACCTGATCTGAATTGACAAGAACATGTAGTGACAAGGAAAGAGAGTTAATAAAGAAATCAAAGGGTAAGGCATAGAAAGACCGAAAGGATTTAGGAAATCTGTTTCTATCATTACCATAACAAAGGCTCATAGAAGTCAAGGATAAATCAATCCCTTAAGGACAGTGATCTCCTGTCCTGATGTACTCATCCCATTTAAATTCTATTATAATTCTATTAATAAATATCATTACTCTTATCTGTGACAGCTGAATTTCATTCTTACCAGATAGTTAGGGGAAGAATGATTTAGGTTACATTTAAACTACCTTAAGAATGCAGAGTTATACATGTCAAATCTAAAATGATAATCACAATATTTCACACTGACAATTTTGAAGCATGAATAGGGCACACTCTTTCACTCCCACGCATGTAATATCCTCTGAAGCTCTGTGTTGCCAGCATAGAGCACCACATTCCCAGACATATGTTTGCCCATCTTGCCACACTCTCTTCCTGTGCTCAGGCAGCAGAAAGAGAACAGGAGGTGGATTTGGACTCCTGCAGCATTTCTGCATCCTGCCCAGCTCCTCACATCAGCAAAAGAATTCCAAGGCTCTGCATTTGCACAGATTCACTGAAGCTAGACAATCTCCCCTAAATTCTGTTGGTGCTGCCTTGGGGCTATTTTCAGGCAGCTTAAATTCCAATTAGGCTAAAATTTCCATTGAGTACATGCTTCAGAAAACTCACAGCCAGAAAATGGGACACAGAAGACACAGTGAATTTTAGGTGGATCTAGGTGATGGGAATATAGCCCTTTTCGGTTTTTTTTGGTTTTAGATACATTCTGATTTTGGACACTAAAAGAGATATCGTCCACATGCCCCTTCTGTGTACGGGGAAGCACTAAAAAAACACTGTGCAAGTAACTGATGATGAGCAGTTCCTGGAGTCCCCTGCTTCTTTGTGTTCTCTGTAGCCTTACAATGGTAAATTGTGCTATGCTTCAGCTTCAGAGCATAGTGAGAACCACTTATCTGGACTCATGGGGTCAGGATCTGCAGTTCAGTACACTGAAGATGCCAAGAACTCTGGAATTCCCACTTTTTACTTAAGTGCTTTAATATTAGATTGTTACAATAAAGAATAGTACTGGCTGCTTAGTACTCAAAGTACTTGACAAACTAAATCCTGAGTTGACAAGAGATATTTTGCATTTCTTGTTACTTTTTTATATTTTAAAATCCTGTTCTAAAACTCCAGTGCACTCAAATATAAACATATTGAACTTCTTCCTGCACATATCAATAGCATCTATCAGTGCCGGGTTAGGACACTTAGAACAA